TTCTTTTAAACACTGCCTGGCCCATTATATCTAGCCTCTTCTTGGCTAACTCTCATATCTTGCTTAACCCATATTTAGTAATCTTTGTAGCACCAGTCTTATCGGGAGAGATTCAGCATGTCTGACCTGGTGGCTTGCTCCATCGCGTCTGCCTCAGAGAGGAGAGGCATGGCGTCTGCCCTGGAGAGGAGAGACATGGCATCTGCCTAACTTCCTCTTCCTCCCAGCATTCTGTTCTTTTTACTCCACCCACCTATCTAAATTCTGCCCTATCAGATGGGCCAAGGCAGTTTTCTTTATTAACCAATGAAATCCCACATCAGAGCCATCTATCACCTCTGGCTCTTTTAATCATTAACTTCTCCTGTGCATAGGTCTCTGAGCCCTGACAGAGCTTTTTTTCCCTACTTTATCCCTTTCTCCCACCCACCTTCCCAATTAATCCTTCCACTCCAGTCTTTTCTGTGTCTCTCCCGAACAATATATTCTATTTTCCCTTCCTTGTGAAGTCCTCTCTCCCTGTGTAATTCCTCAATAGGTACCTAATCTCTGTGTTTATGCCTTTGTAGCATACATATCAAAAGCTTAAAAACTAACATCCACATGAAAGAGACTGCTTTACCTTACTCAGAATGATTTTTTTTCTAGTTCCATTCATTTGCCTGTAAATTTCATTTTTAACAGCAGAATAATATTCCACTGTGTAAATGTACCACATCTCATTGCTGATCTGTTGATTGATAGCTAGGCTGTTTCAGTTTCCTTTAGTTATCAGAGCAGCAGTGAATGTGGATGAGCAAGTGTCTCTGGAATAAGATGGACAGTCTGTTGAGCATATGCCCAAGAGTTGATGTTCCTGGATTTTCAGGCAGATGGATTTTCCTCTTTCTGAGGAACAGCCACACTGATTTCCATAGTGGCCTTGGCAGTTGAAATTCCTATGAGCAATGAATAAGTGTTCTCCTTTCCCCCAAAATCTTGCCAGTGCATGCTGTCATTTGTTTTATTGATCTTGGCCATTCTTACTGGAGTAATATGAATTCTCAAAGTAGTTTTAATTTCTGTTCCTCTGATGGCTAAGACTGTTGAATATTCATCTTTTGAACACTGTTTGTTTAATTCTGTACCCCAATTTTAAATTCAGTTTATCTCTTGCTGTTCAAGTTCTTCTTATTTTCATTTTATATATTTTAGATACTAACCCTCTATCGGATGTCTAAGTGGTAAAGATATCTTCTATTTCATAGCCTACCACTTTGTCTGAATGATGGTTTCCTTGCCATGCAGAAACTTTTCAGCTTCATGAGATCCCATTATTGATTGTTGGTCTTAGTACCTGTGGCAATGGTGTCCTGTTCAGGAGGTCTTCTCCTATGCCAGTGAGTTCAAGTGTATCCTCTACTTTTCCTTCTGTTATCGTCATTGTATCTATTCTTATGCTGAGGCCCTTGATCCATTTGGACTTGAGTTTTATGCAGGGTGATGAATGTAGATCTGTCTTCATTCCTCTACGCAGCCATCCAATTTGATCAACACCATTTGCTAAAGATGTTGACTTTTTACCAGTGTGTATTTTTTGACTTCTTTGTCAAAAACCAGGAGGACTATGCCTGGGTCCTCAATTCAGTTTTATTGATAAAGTGTCCCAAAGGTTTGGATATATTGTTTTTATTTTTAAAAGGTTTTAATTTTCTTCTTGATTTTGGTCTTGACCCATTTACTTTCTGTTGTTGATATCCAACTTTAGTCTATGGTGGTCAGATGCAGGGAATTCAAGTTTTAATTTTCTTATGTCTGTCTAGACTTGCTTTGTTTCCTAATATGTGGTCAGTTTTGGAGAAAGTTCCATGAGCTACTCAAAAGAAAGTTTTGGGTTTTTGTTTGTTTGTTGGGGTGAAATGTTCTCTAGATATCTGTTAGGTCCATTTGATTTATAATGTTATTTAACTCGAGCATTTCTCTGTTTTTGTGTCTGTGTTTTGGGGGTATTTTTATTGTTGTTTTTGTTTTGTTTTGTTTGTCTAGTGACTTGTCTATTGGCAGACAGGTGTATTGAAGTGACCCACTATCACTGTATGAGGGTCATTACGTGATTTTAGCTATATGAACTTGGATGCCCTTTGGTTGGTGTATCCATGCCTAGAATTGTCTTAAACACCGGAGATTTGCTCTTTTTGTAATCTGTTAGTGAGGCTTAGCACTAAGGTTTTTGTTTGAAATCCTAAATTTTTCATTTACAGTTTGGTTTTCTTTAGTGTTTTTTTTCTTTCATATCTTGAACTGTTTATTTTGCTCAGCTGTTTCTTTGTGATCTCACAGTCTTCAGTAAAGGGTTTTTCATATTCTCTCTAAGACCTTTGAAGATATGATCGCTATTCTGAAGCCCTTGTCTTGGGCTTATCTGTAGGGCATTTCCTAAGGAGAACCATGATAGGATTACTGGATTCTAGTGTGGGGTGCTGACTTGACTGTTTATGTTTCTGGTTTTTTTGCTGAGGTCTAGAAATCAGGGGTTATGGAGTTTAAAGTGTCAAGGGGTTAATATCTGGTCCAGTGTTTTGGGGATAGGTGTTCCGTGTTTTTGGTTTCTGTTACCCTCAGAATCCTAGGCGAGTGTGGTGGCTTGCGGGCTTGCTGGTAGGGAGTGCTTCCACTATCTACTCAAAAGCCACATCACAGTTTTTCATATAAAGGGAATGAGCTCAATCAAATGGACTTAGATTTTTTTTTACTTCTATACCTTTTATATTTTAGTATGATTGCACAAATCAGTGTTCATTAACTTATAAATTAATGAGATTCAGATCATCTATACATGCACACATTGCATTAATCATGTACCTCCATCTGTGTGCATAGATGGTTCCCTCCTTTGTATTCTTTTCCAAAATATTCTAGTTCCTTTGTGTTTTTGTATAAATTTTTCCTTATTTTATATTTTTCTTTATTTCCTTCATCCCTTCTCCTCTTCTCTTTCCTTTCTTTCCCTTCCCTTCCCCCTCCATTCCCTTCTCCCTTTCTTCCCCTTCCCCCCACTCACTCTGTAGCCCAGGCTCCTCTGGAACTTGAGGACATTTTGCTTCAGCTTCTTGAGTCTCAGGATTGCAGTTATAAACTACAATACTTGTCTTACTTCATTTTATTTTGTTTTATTTTGCTTTAGTTGGGTTTTTGAGACAGGGTCTTCTCTATTTAACATGTGTTGGCCTGGAACTTATGATCTTCCTTTCTCTGCTTCCCAAGTAGTGTGGTTACAAGTATGTGCTTCCATAGCCTGCTTTCATATAGATTTTAGGGTAATCGTGTGTGTGTGTGTGTCTGTTTGCAAAAAAAAAAAAAATAAATAAATAAAAAACAAAAATAAAAAAACTTAAAATGTTGTCATTTCAATGGGAATTGTGTTAAATCTCTATTTTAAGGTTCTTGTTTCTTAGTAGGGAGAATTGAGTTTTTTAGTCTGTAACACAGTATGTTCCTCTAGTTCCAAAGATTTCATCAGTGTTTTGTAGCTTTCGTGGCGAATTATAACATGTTAAATTGAAGCCTGCCTGCCCTCCTTCCTGCCTTCCTTCCTTCCTGCCTTCCTTCCTTCCTTCCTTCCTTCCTTCCTTCCTTCCTTCCTTCCCAGAATATTTCTATATATAATTTGTGCTACCGTAAATTTTGTGCTTCCCTGTGTTTCAGCATAATGAGTGTTAGAATTTTAGACATGTATCACCGTGCTCATCCTATTACTGTAGTTACAATTTTGGTGACCATGTGTTCATTTTTATTTCTTCCATTCTAAAATCTTAACTGAACTCATTAGATTTAGGCGTTATCTTTAGGTTCTTTGTTAATTATTTATTTATTTATTTATTTATTTATTTATTTATTCATTTATTCTGTAGTAGTGGTATGTGTGTGTTTTGCTGTTATCCATGAGGTTGTATAGCAGAAATGGGGGCATAAAGATCATAAATTCAAGGTCATCCTCAACCATATGGAGTTTGAAGCCAGCTTACACAACATGATGCCTGTCTCAAAATGTGTATGTGGGGGAAGTCATATTTTCCTGCTTCTTTTCTGGTGTGTGTGCTTATTCTTTCCTTCCTGCACCATGCATTACTGACTGAACTTTCAGCATTGCATTTAATAAAAATGTAGAAAGAGAAAATTTCTTAATTACCTTCTTAGCATTAAGTTGAAAGTTTTCTTTTTTACATCAAAGAGATTTTTCATTACTAGTTGGTGTTATCTCTCTCCCCACCTATCAGTGTTGTCTAATGAGAGGAACAAGGTAATGGGTGTCAAATTCTTTCTTTCAAAACCTGAGCATTTAAGTTTTTCTTTTTAAGAGCACATCTTGATTTAAAGATTGCACTAAAGTATCACATTAGAACACTGAGAAAAACCTCATAATTTGTTTGGTGACTTTTAGCTTGTTTGTCTCTCTCAATACAAATACAATTGATGGTTGTGACTGGCTGGTAACAAGGGTCCATGTTCATTCACCATTTAATATTATATTATTTGAAAGATTAGATCTGCTTAAAACATCAAGATTTTATTTGCAGATAATAGCCAATTCATTGTTTGAGCGCTTCTTTGATACTCAGAGTCTTTGCTCATTCTCATCTGTGTCTCTTCCTGAGAGGATGTGGATCTTCCTTAGAGGACTCAAGCCTAAGGGCTTACGTGGCCTCCCATAACTAGCATGAGACTCGCACAGAAATGTAAGGTCTATCCTAATTGTTAGGAACCCTTCTTCCTGATGGCTGCTATGGTCCTTGCAATTGATTGCTAGGGATGGCTCTCTTCCTAGACTGATGTGGTCTTATGTGTCTAGTATCACGAACAGCTGCCACTCCAGGCCCTGGCTTAAGTGGTCTTAGCCACTCATTGTTAGGAGTGCTGTAGTTTAGCGTACTGTCTTGATTTTTACCCCAGCGTTCCTTGTTACACAATATAAGGAGAATACAAGTTGCATAAAAACTGATAAATTTCTTTTTCTTTTTTAGGCAGAAACTTCTTATCCCAAATGGAAGCTGTCCGATTATTCTGAATACGTATTTTTGTCAGAAAGCTGTTGCAAGAGAAGCAGTACCTGAAGAATACTGTCAGGATGCCTCGCTTCCAAGAAGAGACATAACGTTGGCCCGGATGTTTAGAATTGAGGAGATAACATGTAGTTCATCCAGAAATCAGGTAAATTCTTATTGACTTCGAATTCTTACCCTTGTAATATTGTTGATCTCTGTATTTGAAAGTAAGGATATTCGTCTTCTGTTCCCAACTAATATGTGCTAGTGTGTGTGTGTGTGTGTGTGTGTGTTGTTACCATTATTGTACCACAAGATATGAAAGCTGAAGGAGCATTTAGTCATGGTCTCATTATAATTTTCCATTACATGGCTTTAGTCTGTATTTCAGTTTATTACAACATGAAAGTTCTCAGTGCTGTGAGGTTATGATTAGCACATTCGGGGATTATAAAGTATTTCCTCTATTTTTATCTTAAAATTAAGAGTTTTAAGTCTTTATTATGTTCTCTGTTTTCCTGGTATCTGTGTCCATTGAGATAAAACTGTATAATTATGTTAGAAGCTATATGATAGAGATTGAGTTAATGGAGTTTGGGATAAGGACTCTGAACTATTTCAAGATGGATTTGGAATTTCACAGTAATTCACTGGTAGTGGGTAGGGTATATGTCCATGAAGACTCAGCGCTGTGAATCTGTTTTCAGTATACTGGAATCAAATTCTCTAATTTACCAGAATCACCGCAGGATAAAATGTTGAGATTAAAAGAAAGAAGGAGGGGAAATCAGAAAGTGGGTAAAGCTTCACCACGCTTGAAACCATTGAAAATACATCTTCCACTGACTATCAAGAGAAGTATCTGGAAGGAGTAATTTGAGGAGGGCCTATGACCCCCACACACGTGCCATATAGTACACACACACGGGGGCAGGGGATGTTAAATCATAAAACTTAAATTTGTCAAAGTATACTTTTAAACAGTTTATGCTATGTGAAGCTCTTCAGATATGTTTTGTTAGATAACAGAAACCATGTAGCATACTGGTAAAGAATAGAGATTTCTGAGAGGGCTGGAGAGAAGGCTTAGCATTAAGAGTCTTCTTGCTGCCAGTTGGTGGTGGTACATAACTTTAATCCTAGAAGATTAATTGGGAGGCAGAGCTAAGCAGGTCTCTGAGTTTGAGGTCAGTCTGGTCTACAGAGCTAGTTTTAGGACACAGGGTTACACAGAGAAAACTTGTCTCATAAAACAAAACAAGGGGGGGGGGGAGAGACAGAGACAGAGACTGTGCTGCTATTCCAGAGGACCCAAGTTCAGTGCCCGGCATCTCCATAGGTAACTGACTGTAGCTGCGGGAGATCCAGTGCCCTCTCTAGTTCTCCAAAGATGCCTGCACTCATGTATGCAGTTCCCACTGACACCGAGAAAATAACATGGTATCTTGGAAACATGTACTTTGTTTCACATCCTGCCACAGCAACTTTATGCTAGGTCACTTTGAGCCTTTTTATCTATGAGAATAGCTCATTGTGAGAATAAATAGTAATATGTAAAGAACTGAGTCTAAAAAATAACAAATACTTCAAAAGTGTCGTTGCCTTATGATCTTTGATATTATATAGTTGTGAGAATACATGAGTATTCAAATTGCTTAAATTAACAGATTACACATTCAAGTATCTAATAAAATGACTCATTTTAATTAAAATGTATTCATTCTTTCTGAATAAACCAAAAAGGAAAACTATCCCCATGAAGTAATTAATGATATGACAGTCTACTTGGTACTGTTAGTAGAAGAAACTTTGCTGTGCTGTCCTTACCTACCTCCACTCTTCAGCAGGCTAGATGCCAGGGCTACATGTTTGTCTGTATGTGTCTTTATGCCCTGCTGGTGCCTTGACAGTTACCTCATGATGTCACTATATTTAGACACCATAACATTGTAAGCCAAACTGAAACTGCTGCTTTTGTATGTCTTGGACAGATTACATGTAGTGGCCTGGCCACCACTGGCACAGGCTGGACCCACGGGCCTGACAAGACAGAACAACATCTTGCAGTTGGTGCTCCCCTGAGGGATTCTCTTCTGGACATTGTGGAAAGCCAAAGAGCTGACCCATGGTCTGGAGTCGGGGTCCAAGTAGTAGTGCAGAGAGTTTACTCCCTTCGCAGCAGAGACGGTGCCAGGAGCCAGCAACGGCACACAGAGGGGCATGCAGATTCACCTGGAACGTGGTGAGTAGCAAACATAGACACAGGAGAAAGGAATCACAAGAGTTCCCAAGAAAGGAAACTCTGCTCAGAAGAATTCTGGGTATAATTCATTGTATACAGAGACTGTTTTGTATATTTTTTTTTTTGCATGAAAATTTGGTACATGTGTGTATTGCTCAGGGTTCTCTAGAGGAATGGAACTGATAGAATGAATATGGGACTTATTAGAGCAGCTTACACCCTGTAGTCTAGTATTCAAACAATAACTGTTCACCAATGGAAAGTCCAGTCTCTTCTGGTCTTCAGGATATGCTGGAATCCTGAAGAAGTCGGATCTAATGTCACTGAAGGAATGAACTTGCCAGAGAGAGTGAGGACAAGCAGGGAAAGAACAAAACTCCCTTCATCCATGCCCTTTATATAGGATGCCAAGGTGGCCCAGATTAAAAGTGGGTCTTTGATGTCAAATGATCTTTTTTCATTTCTAGGAAGTATCTTTAGTTCTATCTCTCTGGAAACACCCCTGTAGACATACTCAGAATCACGTGCCTTATGTACTCCAAATCCATTCATGTTGACAATGAAGATAAGCCACTGCAAATTTAATGACCATATATGACAGTGTGCATGTGGTTGTAATTCATGGTAATTTTTTTAACTTTATTTATTCTTTGTTGATTTCACATCATGCATTCTGATCCCACTCATCTCCCTGTCCCCTTGCATCCATCCTCTGCCCTTGCAACCTCCCCCCAAATCAAAACAAAATTTAAAAGAAAAACTAAAGCAACTAACAACAAACAAAAGTAGGCAAAGCTGTAGTGTGGCCTGTTGAGTCACACAGTTTACTCTTTTGTCCATTCATCTTTACTTGCAAGTGTTTGTTGCCTTTGGGATCTCTGGTTTCTGCTGTGCCACCAATAATGGGCTCTCACTGGGGACCTATGTCATGGAGATCCTGCTGTTTTGTATCTGTAAGTTCGTTCCCTTCTCATGTTCCAACAGTTTATAGATTTGGTGGATGTTGGGATGGGCCGACTCCAGGACCTGGGTGGTAGCTGGGTTCGTCAGTCTACCAGCGTTCTCTCATGGTCACTACCCAGACAAGCTCTTCAGCAGTGCCTAGCTCACCCAACGCAGCCTGCAGCAAGGATTGGGACCATTTCTCATGCTCTCAGGTCCTCAGTTCTGGTTCACCCACTCTCACAGCTATAGGAAAAAAAATTTAGACCAGTTCTATAAAAAAACATCCCTCGAAGGTATACCCAGCTGCTTGGGTTTTAGTTAATTCCAGATAAAGTCAAGTTGACAACAAGAATAGCCATCCTAATATAGTATATACAACAAAGGATTTTGTCTCATTTATGTGAGAAGTCTTACTAAAAATGTCCATGGACTGACGACTAGATTAAAAAACATAGTGTATCTGTTGGGCTACTGTCAGGCCCTGCCCTACCTGAAATTGTTACTTTTACTTTCGGTGGCTCATGTTGTAGAAAATAGTACAGAGTTAAGATATATTCACAGAGTGCTGGAAAGACAATGGCATGTGGCTACTGTACCTAAGATTGCGTATCAGTTCTTTAAAAACTGAGTATAGAATGGCAATTCGACATTCTGTGGCTCTGAGAGACTGCTGTTTGAAACAGAGTGCATGATGCTAATAGGATGTCCTGTGGCGATGTGAGTACTGTGTGCCTTCACTGTTCAAGGCAGTGATTATTGTGGACTAGAAATGTGGCTAGTGTAACTAAGAAGCTAGAATTTAAATGTTTACCCCAGCGCTCATTTACGTGTGTGAATGTGTTTCTCTGTGTGGGTGTGTGCATTCCACTGCATGTGTGCGGGAGTCAGTGCTCTCTTACCATCACGATGGGCCTGGGATTGAACTCAGACTTTGCCCGCTAAGCTGTCTCAGCAGCCCAGTAACTGTTTTAAGAGGTCTCCTGTGGGTGAGGGCTGCTGTGTGAGGGCTTTAACAGCAAAGGCCTCACCCATGATCCAAAGTACTGCGCTCAGAGGGGCATGGGAGGCATGTCTTCAGATTTAGGCCCTTCCTGCTTTATCTGGGATTTTTTGTTTAGTTTTTTTTTTTTTTTTCAAATGACTATAGAGAACTCATTAACTGAGGAGTTTGTGGTAGAACATCGGACACATTTTTTAAATGTTATTTTCCTGGTGCTTTTGAGTGGCCCTCCAAGCAACAGATTATAAATTGAAAGTACTCATGCTGTTTGTTATCAGGGAGATGAACAGTTCCTTGTGGTGGTGCCGTCTCACTGCAGTGGGAATGCATAGAGAGAGCTTCATGTTGCCTCTAATTGATGCTCAAGGGAATGCATTCTATCTGAAAATATCCTAAATGTTTAAAAATCCTGTTGAGGTCTAGAGTGGAAAACAATTCATTTGATTTATAGATTCTTTGCTCTTCACTCTGGGAATTTTAAATAAAATTATCAAAGACAGTTCGAGATTAGATACAAATTTTGTTTGTATTTTAGTTTTGCTTTAAAGAAAGGCATACAAATAAGGTGGTGACTAGGACCATCCTGCTGAAGCTTCTCCTGCCAGATACTGAGCACACTCCTAGCACAAAGAGACCGAGCTCTGAGTCACCGGGACACTGGTGAAATCACAGTGCATCTCGAAAGCCATCCTCTGTGGCCTTCACTGCTGCCTCTGGTTGAATGAAGAGCCAAAAAGGCAAAGCTCTGAAAGTCTAACTGATGCTGACGCTCATATTTTGTGCTATCTGTACTTTAGAATCTTGTCATGGCATGAGAAATGAGAATATATTTGTGCAGGGTTGTTGGAAGACCAAGTGTAAACCTCAAAACTGGAAAAATGACATTCAGTTACTGACTTGTGGTGATTATGCTATCTGTGTAGTCCATGTATGATTGTAGACAATGAGACTAACTAGCATTTGTTCCTTTGCATCCATGGGGTTCTTACTACACACTGAAGGTTCTACACACAGCACAGAATGAAAAATGGATTGGAATAAAGTCCCCAATGGCAGGGTGGAACAAACTGTATCTAGATTAATGCTGTCCTAGGGCAGCAAGAGACTGACCTCATCCTGTGATACTTGGTTAAACTGTGGAGGAAAATGGATTTTTTTAAATTTTTTTTATTGAGAAAAGGAAAAAAAAATTTCCGCCTCCTCCCAGCCTCCCATTTCCCTCCCCCTCCTCCCACCCTTCTCCCTCTCCCCCCACTCCTCTTCCCCTCCCTCTCCAGTACAAAAGCAGTCAGGGTTCCCTGCCCTGTGGAAAGTCCAAGGTCCTCTCCGCTCTGTCCATGTCTAGGAAGGTGAACATCCAAACTGGCTAGGCTCCCACCAAGCCAGAACATGAAGTAGGATCAAAACCCCGTGCCATTGTCCTTGGCTTCTCATCAGCCCTCATTGTTCGCCATGATCAGAGAGTCCAGTTTTATCCCATGCTTTTTCAGTCACAGTCCAGCTGGCCTTGGTGAGCTCCCAATAGATCAGCCCCACTGTCTCAGTGGGTGGGTGCACCCCTTGTGGTCCCAATGAAGAGCAGGAGGGAGAACATGAGCAAGGAAGTTATGACAATACCTTAATTTAAAGCAGAAAAAAATATATGTATCAAAATTGATCTTAAATTTATATCAATATACCGAGATCCATACCAAAACAAAGTATCCATATTCCCCATTAAATGTAAA